GTATCTAGGATATGCAAGTCAGCTAAACAAATTCATAAGAATGCCATTTGAACATGTAAAGGACATATTTATAATGTTGGACACCTCTGACGATGAGCCGATTAGTACCTGATAGAGTCCTAGAATCAGAGATGCGTCAGGCTTCCTCCATCACTGCTCAGTAGCCGCCATGATGGTCCTATGGTCTCCATCAGCTGGTCAGCAAGTAGAGCACGCAGCACGTACTACATACCCGGCGTATTATGTATACGCTCAATTTCAAGCTTTTTCGAGTATTAGGATTGGTATTTCAACTAATTTTCTCAGGGTTAAATTTACCTTTTCATATATACAATTTTGCACCAAGCGACTACAACCGCGAGTGATGTGTGTATGATCAGCATACTTATCTGATCTGCGTACTTGTCTTGGCACTTAAATGGTTAGAAGATGATGACGAGAAATCATGTCTTATTGACTGACTCCGACAGCTAATAAGAAACTGTTGGGATCTGGCGCATCTCTGATTATACAACTCTATAATCAGATTATAGTACCTAGACATCGACCTCCCAACCTTCATAGTCATGGTGACCTACTCATTAAGACCTACATCATGAAGATTAGAGACCAGGAGACTCAACTTATGTCTTCAAGAATAAGACCAAAACCTGGTTTATATGGTAGTCAAAAGTATGTACACCAGCAACGCTGATGCTCGACAAACTGTTGATAATCGAACGTTGGTAGGGAATAAGTGGGCACACACACTTACCCCGAGTCTACTAACATGCACTCACACCGTGTACATAAAAACGCTACGTAGAATTGAAGCAACATCTTGATTAGGATTTCATACTAGCGGTGACAACCACTTTTGGGTGTAGTATAACTAGTAGGTCCACTCCGTCATTATTATGGTCCAACCAATGAGACAATTGTTGTATGTGTGGTAGTGTAGCTTTGATGAGTACTACACACGCACGCCGCTGGATTTGAACCAAAAACATGGTGGAATACCATGTGGAATACGATCGGGAGCGAAAAACCAAAGGGCCGACGTGAAAGTGGGCATACTATAGTTATACTATGCGTTTGGGCTCAGAATTTGATGCATCCGCCCATATGAGTTGACCCACACAGCACAGAAAGATTGCAAGAAGATTGCAGAAATGTTACATTGCAAGATTGCAATATTGTAGCAACGTTGCACGACATTGCTGCAACGTTTCTGGAGGGTTGCAGCAACGTTGAAATGTCCGCCCTCAGAGAGATTGCAGCGCAACGTTATAGCAATGTTGCAGTGCAATATTTTTGAATAATTTGTTGTTGCCACACAGCACAGAAAGATTGCAGGAAGATTGCAGAAATGTTACATTGCAAGATTGCAATATTGTAGCAACGTTGCACGACATTGCTGCAACGTTTCTGGAGGGTTGCAGCAACGTTGAAATGTCCGCCCTCAGAGAGATTGCAGTGCAACATTATAGCAATGTTGCAGTGCAATATTTTTGGAATAATTTGCTGTTGTACATAAGCAGAGAATTTACTAATTACATATGCATCTGGGCCTTTTTCAATACACAACAAGCTATTGCGAAGCAACCTAAGGAGATTATGTCGCTTCGCAATAGATGGAGATTGCGAGCAACACCGCACTGATCAAGTACTTAATAATTCGCGCATTATTGGTATCAACGAAAGTAACATTATAAAATTCTCGTAATTAGAAAAATTTTTTAAATAGAAAATATACCCATACAGCACGGAAATATTGCAGCAGCA